AGCTTGGCTAACTTAGCCACTTCAGTCGCTTAAGACCAACAAGAATTCATAGAGCAATATTCACCTTTCTGTCCATAGACTACACCTTTTAGCCTGATTACTCACCTTCAATAGATGAACCTAGCAGAGATTCCCTTAGGCCCTTAGTACATAATTTTCACCAATGAACATAGAAGAGGTTTTACTTTGAAAATAAATATTCAGGTCTTGTAAAAAGTGACATATCATTAAGACCATTGATTGAATACTGATTGTGCAGGGAGCAAGCAAACTTGCTCTACTTTGACTCAATGTTTCTCTTCAGCTTTTTCAACAATGAGTTGGGATTCTGGAGGGGGATGTAATATTTCTATCAAAAACCATAATGAAATTCAGTAAACCAAAAGGCTTAAAACCTATACCATAAAACAAATCCGGTGATTACAATCACCACTTGAATGCAAAACAAGATGATAGTACCAGGTTTCCTAATTATTTATCAGAAGACGACAAATGTGTACATATTGCATGAGCTGATACTAATGCCAGTTGATGTCACACTCAACCCAAACATGCACGGTATATGCAACATATGTATTAGCCTAATTTGAAGTATATGTTCATCGATTACCTTTCACTCTTGCATTCTTCTGCCTTCTTCTGGGTTTTCCATTATAGGTTGATGTTGCAAAACACGAGTACGACACCATGGTGAATTGGCTCCTCGAGACAAGCTAATACCTTAGAGGATTTAGGTTCCAACTACACTTAACAGGTAAGCCGATAATAAGAATAAATACCAGAAGACAAACTAAAATAATGAAAAAAAAAATGATAAAAAAACACCCATAGTAGTGATAGAACACAAAAAATTATCTTAAGAGTATAGCAATACCTACATAAATCACATGTATCATACTTATACTTTCTTGTTGCACTTCCCTTGCAAGAAGTGAGTTGATCCACATCATTGGTTCCCATTCTTCCAGGATGGACCTTGTTTCCCAAATTAAGATGCTCGGACAACATAAAATTATTGAGAGATGTATAATGACATGATGTACCAAGACTACCAACTAAGAATAACTCAATTGTTCATCTACTTCAACCCAACTCCATGCTCCACACTTTTCCAGTCCTTTTGGCTTCATCAATTTTCTAATATTGGCAGCCTCATCCCAAAAGCCAGCTTCAGCATAAATGTGAGCCATTGTTAGGTATGCAATAGAATCCTGTGGCTGCAGAGCAAAGAGCTGATTAGAAACCTCTCTTCCCAATTCCACGGCACCTTATGTTTTGCAGCAACTCAATACCGAACTCAATATGACAGAATTAAGATCAAAAGGCATCTCATCCATCAATTGCATTGCCTTTCTTATATGCCCTTGTCTAGCATACAAGTCAATTAGACAAGCATATTGGTCCATTGTAAAAGACAGATCATAATCCATCATCATCTTGTTGAAGTTCTCTACAGCTCTATCAAGTAAACCCGCATGATTACAAGCCTTGCGCACTACAGTAAAGCAAATATGATCAGGGAAAAACCCTTTCCCATCATGTGATCAAAGAGCTCTAGCGCCTCTATTTCTCTTCCACTCTGAGCATACCCTGAAATTAGAGTTGTCCACAAAACATAGTTCTTTTCAATTGTTTAATCGAAAACATAACGAACTTCATCAATGCTACCGCTCTTTGAGTACATGTCAATAAGAGCGCTCAAAACAAACTGAATGGTCAAAGAACCTAATTTTATTACCAAGCCATGCACCTGCCTCCCAACCTAGAGAACTGATAGCCTCCTAGATGCATGCAAAATGCTGCTCATGGTGAAATCAGTAAAGCTAATACCTTGATTTCTCATGCGTAAAAAGAGTCTGACTGCATTTTCACGTAGAGGTTATGGCAGTGACAAGCAATCATTGAGTTGTAGACAATACTATCCCTAGTTGATGCCTCATTGAAGATCAAAACAGAAGCATCTACACTCCCACATTTTGAGTAATAATCAATCAAGGAGCTAACCGCGAAATTGTCAACCATAAAACCAAGCTTTATAACATGAGCATGAATAGTAAGCGTTGTTTAAGAGGTTCTTTTTCAGTAGAACAGACAGCAATAACACTAACATAAGTGAAGCAATTAGGTTGAATATCTCTTGTTAGCATCTTCTTAAAAAAGAAATTGGCTTCAACTCCACATCCATACTGTAGATACGCCGATATAATAGATGTCCATGACACTTCATCATGCTGCTTCTTTTCATTAAACATGCTCCTAGCATCTTCAATCCCAAAACACTTAGCATAAAAATCAACAAGCGCGCTACTCAATATTAAATTATCTCCATAACCATACTGAATTATCTTCGCGTGTATTTGCAAACCTAACTGGGAATTTCGAATCTTTGTACAAGAATTAAGGGTTGTACATAAATCATACTTATTTACATCAGTTCCAACATGTACCTTTCTCAAAAACACCCTTCTAAACTTCCAAAGAGTTCTCTTAGTTGATAGATATATCAACCTAGTTCCCCATGAAACCATTATTCTTCAACAACTTCCGACTTCTAATGAAAATATCATTGAACAGACATGTGCACTAACGGAATAATGGTAGTTACAGCAACAAGACGAACATTCAATGTTGTGTTTTAATCGCATCATATCCTCCATTCTTGACCATCATCAAAGATTCAAAGTTTCAACCATTAGAATTTGAAAGTTATCAATAGCACTCTTACAAATAAAAAGATTAAAAGAAAAACAACTAAAGTAATCAACCAGGCTTATCTTGCTGTGTTTTTGGTCATATGGTGTTAAATTATAAAGATTCAATAGCAAAAACCCAGAAACTTATGAAAAATTCAACTAATTTTGTCACAATTAATAGTTCCTAAAACATCAAAACAACCCCAGATTAAGGGAATTTCGTCGAACACTTAATAGGCATGACATATAACTAGAAGTTTACGTTAAATACAATAAACTAATTAACAGAAAAAAAAACCCAGCATGTTTTACGATGAGATTGATAAAGTTAGCACCTTTCAGTATTGAACAGCAAGAACAAATAAAGCAAAAATTAAATTAAAAATAAGATAAGTAGATTGAGGAATTTTGACAAACATATGGTGTGCAACTAAAATTTACAAAGTATAAAGCTCAAGGAGAGAAATGAAAATTTACAAAGTATGCAAAATGCAGAGAAACTGATATAAGTAGTAGCTCCAATTTCTTCAAAGCAAGGTAGAGACAAGAAATTCAACCGCCATTTATGCTCTTTTTAAAATAAAATAAAAAAAAGTAGTCACTTTTTACTTTCTTGACCAACGTGAATTCTAATTACGATTCATTCATGTTAGCCACCTCAAATTATTTTTGGATTAAGACGTTATTGTTGTTGTTGTTGGCCAATGTAAATCCTAAATATGTAATAGGGATATTGGTGTAATTACGAATGTACTACTTTTCGAGCATTTTTCAATTTTCATGGAAATCGCTCACCCATAGGCGTAGTTTACATCAATGGGTTAGCCATTTAGTAAGTGGGTTGGGTTTAATGGGTTATGATGTGAGTCTAGTTTGTGAGAGTTCTGAGAAAATGTTTGATTTATGAAATTGTAGGTGAAATGTAAGTTGTAATCTTAATTTCAATTTTATATTGTTTTATTTTTTTTTTTGGTTTTTAAAGAGCTACAAGGTAAGTGATGAGATTCAAATAGTTTCATTGTTTATTGATGTGATAAAGACTTTTGGGGGTAAATAGATCAAAATCTACTATTATCAAGGACCTCGACTCTTTATGTAAAATAGATCAAATTCTACTCAATAACTTTGTAAGTGCCAATTTTCAATTTACAACCAATTATACATTGTACATAGCACAATTAAAATCATCACTATCTTCTATCCTCAAATTTCAATACTATCCTCGCCTGCTAATCTCACACGGTACCATACTACCATATACCAAGAGAACAATTATCGTTTCAGTTTATTAAATTAGTAATGTAATCTTACAAACATTGGTACATAATCATGCAACTAATAACTCATTAATCCCACTAGACCTTTATTAATAAAAGAGACAGAAAAGCAAGAGAAGACTTCTACCAAATCAAACACACACAAAAAAAGTCAAGAACCCAAATAAAAATTCAAAAGAAACCACACATACACATTGTAGTAGAATCAAAATTCCAGGTCATGAATAGAAAAACAGTGGTCCTTTGATAATAGACAACTCATTTTTGTTTAAGAAATTATCCCAAATTCCCCATCAAATTTACCTTTTCACTCAATCTCTAAAAAGCAAAAAAATTAGAAGCAAAATAAACCCCAACTCACTTTCTCAGCTTCTCTTCTCAGTACTACTACTTCTTACAGATTCTCTCGATAGGATCGGAGAGCTCGAAAATGGTAGGATAACGTTGGATCATGGAGACAATAGACCGAGGCTTTGTTAGCGGCATTTGGAAAGGACATGAATAGACATGTAGTGCTTGGGTTTTGAAAGAAGAAAATTCTTAAGCTTCTTCACAAACCGAATTCTATTCTGTTTAATCACATGCTTATCTAATGAACGATCTCGTACAAGCTTCGGAACTGAACAACAAATCAAAAGTGTCCTCCTCTTACATTTCCCCAAAGAAACAAAACCAGCCCCACCTCTACCAATCTTATCAATTGTTATTGGGAGTATAAAGCTCGATTCGAGGGCACCACCTCTACCAATCTTATCCATTGTTATTGGGGGTATAAAGCTCGATTCAAGGACACCACCTCTACCAATCTCATCCGTTATTATTGGGGGTATAAAGCTCGATTCAAGGCCACCACCTCTACCAATCTTATCCATTGTTATTGGGGGTATAAAGCTCGATTCGAGGCCAACATAGGGTCTTCCTCTATTGGAAAAAGGGATAGGAAGAAGCAATGCCATAATTAGGTTTCAAAAGACAGAAACTTATGGAATAATCATGATTAAGAAATAGCTTTCAGTCATAGAATTGATTATCATACCAGAATGAAGGCATGAACAGCAGGCGGCGGTGCAAATGTCACAACTTCAAGCAAATCTACCTATAGAATTGTATAATTCTCATTAAACGACAACAAGCCTACTATACACATATATATAGGTTACCAAATAACCTATCGTACGTAAATACATTATACTCAAAATATACATACGGTATTTATTGTCTAACACACCCCCTCGGTTGGAGCAGGAGGAGGACGGATGGTCAAACTGTGACGAAAATCCACAAACAAAGGTGTCGGAAGACCCTTTGTGAAAATGTCCGCATACTGAAACGCGGAAGGAACATGTAGAACACGTACATCACCAAGAGAAACCTTCTTGCGGACAAAATGAATATCAATCTCAATATGCTTAGTCCGTTGATGATGAACCGGATTATGGGACATGTAAACAGCACTGATATTGTCACAATATACAATCATAGCAGATCGTAATGGACGATGTAATTCCAAGAGAAGATTACGTAACCATGTTGTTTCAGCAACAACATTCGCCACACCTCTGTACTCAGCCTCTGCACTCGATCGGGACAATGTGGCTTGTCGTTTAGACGACCAAGATATAAGATTATCACCAAGAAACACACAATAACCAGACGTCGAACGTTTGGTATCGGGACAACCACCCCAATCAGCATCAGAATAAGAAATGAGACCAGAAGAAGGAGTGGCAGATAAATGCATACCATAATCAAGTGTACCTTGTAAGTAACGAAGTACCCGTTTCAAAGAATTGTAGTGCGGGACGCGAGGATCATGCATGAACAAACACACCTGTTGAACAGCATATGATATATCTGGTCTTGTAAAGGTAAGATACTGCAGAGCCCCTGCTAACTGATGGTATAAAGACGGATCATCAAAGGGAGCACCGTTATCACCACTAAGCTTAGACTTAGTATCCACCGGAGTGTTTGCAGGCTTACAAGCACTCATATTAGCCCTGGCCAAAATTTCCTATGCATACTTGCGCTGACAAAGAAACAATTTACCCTTATGTTGCGTGACTGAGACACCCAAAAAATATGACAAGGGACCCAAGTCTTTCATTGCAAATTTTGCACTAAGGAGAGAAATAATACGTTGCCGAAGACTAACTGAAGTGCATGTCAGAATAACATCATCAACATACAAAAGAAGAAAAGTCGTTTCCGATCCTTGCCGGAAAACAAATAAAGAGTTGTCACATTTGCTGTTGACAAATCCAATACTCAAAATATAAGTAGAAAAACGTTGAAACCAAGCCCGCGGAGCCTGTTTCAAGCCATAAATAGAACGACGAAGAAGACACACATGATTGGTTAGCAGAATCAACAAAACCAGGTGGTTGATGCATATACACAGTTTCCTGAAGATTGCCATGAAGGAAAGCATTCTTGACATCAAGTTGATGAATAGACCAGTTTCGGGAAAAAGCCAAACTCAAAACAGTACGAATAGTTGCCGGTTTAACAACCGGGCTAAAAGTTTCACCACAATCGATACCAATTTCCTGACTTTTACCATTTGCAACAAGCCGCGCCTTATAACGCTCAAAAGACCCATCTGCCCTCTCCTTATGTGTAAAGACCCAAAGACATCGAATAATGTTAGCATCATGAGGTCTAGGAACCAAATCCCATGTGTGTGAGTCAATCATGGCCTTATACTCATCAGACATAGCATTGTACCAATTGGGATCCTTTAAAGCATGGATAGGAGAACGGGGAATAGGAGACCTGGTGGGAGATGGAGATGAACCCACCAAAAAATTTACATATTTTGGTTGGGTTTATAAATTCTAGATTTAGCACGGGTCTGCATAGTATGTGAGGAAGGGAAAGTGTTTGGCTGATTTGTGGAAGAAGAAGAGGAGCAGCGCACAGCAACCGCATGGTCAGTAGCTGGGCTGTCCAAAGTACTACCAGGGCTAGCAGAAACCGAGTTGTAGAGGGAGTAGTAGCAACAGTGTCAGCTGAACTGTGGGCAGTTGCAGGGAGAGGCGAACCATGCGCGGGGATGGCACGGTCAGTAGGAGTTGAGGACACTAGCAAAGGAAGGGGAGAGGAAGTATCTTGATTATTAAAAAAAATCATAATCAGAAGTATTAGGAGTGTAGTATGACGAGTAAGGAAACATAGATTCATCAAACACTACATGACGAGAAATGATGATTTTCTTTGTCTGAATATCAAGACAATGATACCCTCGGTGAGATGAGGGATATCCTAAGAAAACACAAGGAGTAGATCTTGGGCTCATTTTATTAGAAGAAGTAGCCGAAAGATTAGGGAAACACAAACATCCAAAGGTACGAATGTGTTCATAAGAAGGCGCCTTATTGTAAAGTATGTGCATCGGAGTGAGATTATGGAGAAGACGGGTAGGACGAATATTCAGAAGATATGTTGCGGCATGTAAGGATTCTACCCAAAAGGAGGGAGGAAGAGAAGCATGAAAAAGCATAGACCTACTGATATTATTAATAGTCCTAATCATCCGTTCTGCTTTTCCATTTTGAGGAGAAGTATGTGGGAAAGAATGGCGCCATATCATGCCGGAGGACAGGGAAAAATGAGTAAAAGCATCATTATCATATTCTTGTCCATTGTCACGCTGTAAATCTTTAATAGGACGGCCAAATTGTGTCTGAACATATTTATGAAAATTAACAAAGGTAGTAAAGACATCAGATTTAGACCGCAACGGAAATACCCACAAAAAATGCGAATTGTCATCCAAAAATAACAAATAATATCGGAAACCAGTGTGACTATTAATCGGGTAAGTAAACAAATCAGTGTGAATAATGTCAAAAGGAGCATAAGTCATAGTAGTAGAAACTGAAAATGGTAGTCGACAATGTTTGCCTAATTGACAACCAGTACAGATATGAAGACTAGAGCCTTTATTACAACGAATTAAATTATGACTCCTAAGAAAATCAATAACTTGGTTTCCAGGATGACCCAACCGGTTATGCCAGACGTCGGAAGATAATGCAGCAAAAACGGAAGGAGAGGAAGATGATGTGTTTGCAGCAGAAATAGGATAAAGAGAACCAACACTATTGCACCGCGTCATAATTTTCCCCGTCCGGAGGTCCTTCACAGAAAAATCAAAAGGGTCAAATTCCACAGATACATTATTGTCGGAAGTGAATTGACGAACCGAAATTAAATTTTTAATAATTTTAGGAGTATACAACGTGTTTCGGAGTAAGAAAGGAGGAAAAGGTTTAGGAAGAGTGGATGTGGTAGTGCCTGTTACTGGAATTTTCGAACCATCACCAACAAAAATATGTGAATTTAAAGGACAGAAATTGGACATAGAAGAATTGATACCTGTATCATTCATGAGATGCGAAGTTGCACCCGTACCCATAAACCAATTTTGGTCCGGAGCTTGAAGACTCATAGCACTAAACCAATCAGGGAGAGAACTAGACTGTAAACCATAAGCTGCGGTAGAAGACACCGAGTCATGTGAAGGAGCAGAGGCAATCAAAGCAGCCTGTTGATGTTTAGGAGCAGGGCCCAGCAGACCTTGCTGTGAGGGACGATGCTGGGGCAGCGAAGGCTGATGTTGTGGGAAAGAGCCACGCCACGGGGCAGCCTGCGAAGGGTAAGGACAAGGGGGATAAAACCCACCCCAAGGACCTGGCCAAGGAAACCAACCAAGCGGAGGTTGCGACATACGGGAACCCCCACCAGACGGAGGTTGTGACATACGGGAACCCCCAGCCTTCGCACCCTTATTCTTCTTGCCTTTGGACTGCCTACCATAATTCAGCGGCCTAGGACCACCGGTAGAGGGAGCAGAGAAACCAGGGGTGTCCGAAGCAGCCAACAAAATAGAAGTATTATCCTGAGATTGCTTCTCACGGCTAACCCTATCAAGTTCTAACATAGAGCAAGCTTTTGTAAACGAAGGCAGTGGATTACCTTGTTGAATAAGTGTAGCAACCATAGCATATTCCGGGGTAAGTTTCCCGGCGAGTTGAAGAACCAGGCGTTCTTCAGAAATTGGATGACCAAGAGCAGCCAATTGGTCGGAGATTTCCTTGAGCCGCTAACAATATTGAGCAAGAGAAGTGGAATTCGTCAATGTGATGGTCCTAAATTGATTCTCAAGATGAACAATTCTAGTGCCTTCATTGTCCTGAAAAAGAGCCTTCAATTTGTGCCAAGCCACCATTGTCGTAGATTTCTCATCAAGTATCCGGTACAATAGGTCAGTAGAAATCGTACCATATAACCATTGGAGAACTGCTGCATCCAGACGATCCCATAATTCATCATCTATGTCACGCGGTTTCGAGACCGAAGAATCGATATGATCAAGGACTTGATAAACCTTAGCGGTGTTGCGGAAGAGTGTAGCCCACGGAGTATACTGCACTGATTCACCGTCCAAAACCAAGGGAACAAGGTTTCGGATATTCGTGACACCCAATGCCGGATGAAAGGGAGAGACCACAGAAGATTTGGAAGACGGATCAGTTGTCATGAGGAAGCAAACAACCAGAGAACAGAGAGCAAATAAGAAGGGAAAGCAAACCGGAGAAGAAAAGAAAACCCGTGCCGGAGCAGTCACCGGAGAGGGAGAACGGAGAGGATCGTAGAGAAGAGTGGGCTAGGGTTTTGTCCTGATACCATGTAGAATTGTATAATTCTCATTAAACGGCAACAAGCCTACTATACACATATATATAGGTTACCAAATAACCTATCGTACATAAATACATTATACTCAAAATATACATACGGTATTTATTGTCTAACACTACCATTGATGACCATGTCAATTAGCAGTGCAAACTAAATAGTCTATGCAGCAAAATTCAAATTTCCCACAAACAAAAACTAAAAAAAATAAATTAACCAAGAATTAAATAACAGAAAGCATTACATTGACATAACTGATGATAATGGAGTAATAATGCAAATTGAACAGAAATAAGGCAAGACAAATTGAGAATGAATTGAGCACAAAATCATAGTAAAAAATTAATTCATTTAAAAATTAAGAAACTAAATTTGAAAAATTAGGCAACTTAAAAGACATAATTCCACAAATTAAGAATTTACCTTAACGTGCTCAAAACCGCCTCATCGCCGTATAGATGATAATGGAGTAATAATGCAAATATTACTGTATTAGTATTATGGATTTATTTTTTTTGATGCAAAGTATTATGAATTTATGGCCTTATGGGAAATGAAATTGGGTTGGGATTTAAAGGGTAGTGTGGTCTTTAGCATGTTAAGGGTATGTTCAGTTAGCTTAATTTCAGTTCAGTTCAATTTTTAATTTCCTTCTCTTGTAAACAATTCATTTCAGCTCTATTTAGTTCATTTCAGTTGTTTTCAATAAATCATAACAGACCCTAAAATTTTTATATTTATTCTTATTTTTATTTTTATTTTTTTTGTTAAATAATTTCTCTGTTTTTTTTTTAATTGCACCATTTAGATTGGACACCAGATTTTATGTTTACGAAGAAGTTGACTATGAAGTTAGCTGGAAGACTTTGTTTCTGAGCCTGAGCCGGAGATTGATCTGGCGCCAGCCAGTGATGGTATTTTAGAGTTAGAGGTTCTGAAGCAGCAAATGGCAATTGGAGGCCAATCTCAAGGCTAAGGGGGTGATTTAGTACATCTTTGAAAATTTTCTCATACTTTGATACAATTTTAGTCAGCTTTAATAGTCTCAACATGCTCAAGAATCCTTGTCTTCAGAGGTCTTGTTTATACATTAACAAAGTATCTTAGCATGTTTGCTTCTCTATTAAGAAAAAAAAAAAAAAAGAAAAAAAAAAAGGGAGTAAATTCAGTAAAAAAAACAAAGTAAGTAAAAGGAAATAAGCACAAAAGAACATTTGATTGATAACTGGCTTCTAGAGGATGCACGATGAAACTGATGCAGAAATACAAAGGCCAAGCCATTGGCGGTTAGCTGCAAAATACAGTGTAAGTCGTGCAATTGCTGGCCTTTTTGCCACAATATTTCACCAAGAGCAGCTTCTGAATTAATAACCTGCAATTAAGGTACCTTGACATACATAGGCTAAACATAGATGGATCACAATTACAATGCCATGAACTCCAGCCTGATGCAGAGTGCAGTTGAGAAATGGAGCGACGAGCAAGAGACTTATGAACTGCAAGCCCTGTTAGTGATGCCTGCACTCTTAAGACACCATAATTATTATTTACTCGCTAGCAAGCATGCAAAACAGCAACTAAAAAGCAACTTGTTTTTCTTTTTTCTTTGTGTCAGTGTATAATATGGTTAAACAGCACCTCGCCCCTAACAGAGTAGACCTGGGATGAAGAAGTGAAGATAAAGGGAATGACACCATGGAAGAGGAGCAGGGGGTAAGGGTAAGACGGGGAGACAAACAGATAACTTGACAGAAACCAGCAATTCATTATACAATAATTTAAGGCAGCATGGACATGTGGAATCAGCTAACACAAGACAAATTGCCATGGCAGATCAACCGAAAATCTTAGGAGTTGCACTGTTTGGGTAGAGCTTCCCATGGTTCTGTATTTTAGAGCGTATCTCAATGTTGTGGTGTAATCGTATAATGTTACCTGCTCATACGGTATTTGAAAAGTTCTAGAATTTTGTCTCTAAATCTTAGTTATTTATTAGTTAATGCGATGAATTTTTCTATGGATGGCAAATAGTAATTACTTTTGTGGGATTTGTGAGGTTCATATTCATGTTGGGTGTTTATCACGTAAGAGTTCCATCTTCCCCAATCGCGATGCCGAACCCTACCCCTAATACAGTGGTATTAGCCCCCCGCATTAGAGTGTAATTTTGTAGTAATGGGTCCTTATAGCGGAGCAATTGGCCCAAAAAAGATTATTGATGCCATCTTATTTATTTCGGAAGCAGGGAAAAGTTTTGATGCGAAAGTCAAGCTTTTTAAGAAGAATATCAAGGTGGAAATGTTACCTTCCATATTCTGGTGGGAGAATAAGGATGATTTGGTGAAAAAAGCTCAAGGATGTGTGTTTTTCAGAGATCTGACATTCATGGATGAATTGACACACATAATCGGTGACTCCAAAGGTCAAGAGAAGCTGAGGAAGGTTAGGGAATTTCTTAGGGAGAGATTGTCCGCCTTTAAAATGATTTTTAGATATATTCCTAGCGATCGCACTTATGAGTTTCGAGCATTTTCGCCATTTTTTGAGGATGTTGATCAAATGATGGCACGACATTTTGAGGATGTTAAGGGTGTACCGTGTTTGTGGTTTGCTGACCACGATGAGGACTCCTCCCAACCATCAAAGGACCGCCTACGTTCCTTTTCTGGGACTTTGGGGTTAATCAGGTACTCACTTACTTGAATATGTATACCAACTATAATATCATTTCAATTATGATTAATTGATTATTATATACCAAGTAGACATTTATTTTTTGTGGTTATTAATCTTGATTCATTGATTGATGTTGTTGTTTAACTCGTAGAAATTGTGACATCCTAGTAGCAAACGTGCTTCATGTTGTCTTCTGTTTTTTTGAGCTTATTATGTATTATACATTACCTATATTTACCCACCAATGCATCATCAGCCTTCCTTGCTGATAATGTTTTGTTGATGAATGGTGCTTAAATGCCTTCTTGTGTCAACCCAAAATATTGACTACTGTTTGTTTTTCTTTTTCCCCTATTTCTATATGATAATTTACCTCAAGTTAGGGTAATTCTTACCCTTGTATGGCGCAAGGATGGATGTTACTTGTACCTATATCTTCTATGTTAGATAAAGTAATAAAGCTAATTTAAGTGAGTGTATTTTTTTTTAGGGTGTGTGTTGAATGAAGATAAGTCAAATTTCTTCTAAAGGCCAAATTTGTGCAAGGATTGGGAGTCTGTGCATGGTGCAGAGCTAAGACAAGCTCCCTTAAGTTAGCCATAGAATTAAGGTAATAATTTATTCACATGTGATTTTTGTTTGCTATAAAATATACTTGTAGGAATCTTGATACGAGTGAGAATGATGCTGATGCAAAATATTACAATGTCACAATACAATTTGCACTATGAGGAATGTCACAAGGCATTGAAACAATTGTGCTCCTTGTCTTTAATAAGGGTAATTATCCTTAATTACCAATATTATTGATGCTAAGTGTCATCTCCAGCTTATTAATAAGAGATGAAATGCTGCATTCCTTAAATAATAAACAAAAGACATTATTGCTTAAAGGTGACTATTGTGGAATTTTAGGCAAAGGAGAATGGTGGTTTCGAAGAAGTCGACTATGAAGTTAGCTGGAAGGACTTTGTTTCTGTTTCTTAGCAGGAGAATGATTGATTTGGCGCCGGCTAGTAAGGATATTTCTGAGTTAAAGGTCCTGAAGCACCAAATGGAAGTGATGTAGGAGCAAATGAGGATATTGGAGGCCAAACTCAATATTCTCAAGGATAAAGGGGATTAACTTAAGAGTCGTTTGATTGGATCATTTGGAATGGGTTTTAGAATCTATTCCATCCTTTTTTTTTTTTTGTTTGGTTGAGTTTTTTTTTACCTATAGTATCTTATACCTAAGGAGTTCTAACTCAATCTCAAACCCCTGGAATTCCATACCACCTCCCCTCTTAAGATTCACAATCCATTCTTTTAATGAAGTATATAATCCATTTTAACTATAAAACCAATCAGCTTTAGACTAGTATGAGTTTTAGAATCCATACCTTTAGTATGGCATTTAATACAGTAGCTATTAGCTAGCAACAGTAGGCTATTTCTCTTTGGCACATGAACTCGATGTGTTTGTATATTTTGTAATAATATATCCTCCACAAGCTAAGGTGCTCCAATTTGAACTTTGCCATCCATATTTCTCAATATTTAATCCAAGTTTGATTTTAGATTTAGTAAGTTAAATGTTGATTAATAGATTGCTTAATTAATAAAATCCCACTAAATTGAATAGCTAATTTGTATATATAATTTCAATTATTGGCTCGGCCGATTTTATGATCACTTCTATGTCAATTGTCTCGCTTTCCCTCCCATTCAAAAATGATGAACCCTAAATTCCTCCAAATTGAATGCTCTTGAATCTTTGATTTCTTGCTTTTAATGTTGTAATTTGTTATACGGGTTGTAGTTCCATCTTCCTCAATGCTTAAATTAAGGGATTTTAATCAAGGGACAAGGGGGTGAAAAGAATGTTGAGCGATATCATTCATTTGAGAGAATATCTTGAGACGCAAACAGAAAATTAAGTTCAAGAATAAAATTTTAAAAAGCAGGAAAAAAAAAAACCTAAAATGCTCATTAATCATTTGCATATAATTTGAACAACTAAAGAGTAAATGATAGGAAAAAAAAATGACTCATGAGAAATAATGAACTAGTTATGAAGATATTAGCTAGAAAAAAAAAATGAAAATATTGACACTAAACTACTAATTCACATATAGATATCAATTACATCAGTAGGAAATCAAAGTCCCTTGAGCAAGCACCCATCCAAGTTGCAAACTACAACAATTACAATCCATTAGAATTTAAGATTGTCATGAAAATTCAACAGGATATACTACTACGCGGAATTACCAAATGACAAGGCACAAAATTGGTACTAAGGGCGCATGTGTAACTCTAGAGAGTCCACACACGGCGTTGAGTTTATATTTCCTCAAATATGAATAAAAGGAGATGTAGATGCATCTCATGTTAGAAACATTAGTAATTAAATTTACAAGCTCTACGTTCTTCCGGTTAGAAATATGACACATGAAGCAAGGTTGACAGAAGTATTACACAAATCAGCATCATTCAAGCACTTTGTCCACCATTGACGAGTGTAATTCCAACTTCAGGTAGCTGAAATGCAAACTCCATCAATTTGTATAAATTAAGATGTCATAAATTAAGCCAGCTAAGCTGTCCTTCCAAACAAGATCCAACGCTCACTAAACCAAGCCCATAATTGCCCTTGCGCTCCACACCAGCTAAAAATCATTCATTCTGAAACCTCAAAAACATTATACCGTGTCAACTGTCAAACAACTCTCAGCAGAACAGTCATCCCTCAAGGGATTTACAGTGTGTTTGGATAGAGTAAGATGGAGGGAATGAGCAGAAGAGAAAGTGAGAGATTCGCCTTTCCTTGTTTGGATGTGACTTGGGAGAGGCAAGGGAAGGGAATTGGAGGAGTCCATTTCCTTCCCTTTAAACAGACCAAATCTTTACAGAATTGATCGAAAAACGAAGGCTCACACCTTCCCTCCCCTCACTTCCCTTTCTGAATCCACCCCCCCCCCCCACCCCCCACCCCCCCGGGGTTCCCCTCCCCTCCCTTTCCTTCCACAATAGCTATCCAAACATAGATAGTTGGGCACTTTATAAGGACTGTAAAGAGTTAATTAGTTTCCAAGCCTGACCTTGAAGTGTCTGCGCATGATTTTCTGCAATTGCAACCCCCATAAGTTGATCTGCAAGGATCTTACACGCTCTCTCAAGCATTGCCATATATCTTCGCTCTGCATCCTGGCGTATCTGTAAGTGCTTCTCAGCCTACAGTAAGTAAACAACAAAACAAATTGATCAACTGCCTTCAACTTCTCACAGAACTAATTAGTGATAGACCACAAAAGATAATTAGTCATGCAAATAAATCAACAATTCTATGGCTTTGTTCTTTTCACCCAAGTGAAATTAAGTTTTAAAAAGGGCTACCCAAGAAGTTAATTTCACTTAGGTGAAAAGAACAAAGCCATAGGGTGTATTGAACAAGCCTTAATGTTGCATACACTAGAACTGAGGAACTTACATACCTCAACCTGCAAATGTAGTTTAGTCTGCACCTCCATTTGAGTTCTCAAGGCCTCCTTAACCTTAAAACCCCTTTTCAAGCCCAATTCACCATGAATGTTTGCAATATTAGATGTATAAAGAGCATAAGATCTAAGAAAGCGATAATAAATACAAAAAAGAGTAAAGATTCTCAAATTCTTACTCATCCATGTCTGATGTTGGCAAACTTGAGGAAGAATTACTCGTGCGAGGGCTCTCCAAATGGTATGAAGCTGAAATCCCTTTGTTCATTATTGTGGATGATCAGTAATGACGAATGAGAGAAGTGTTTTTCTAAACTAATTACTTCAAATTCTAGTGGATGACCAATGTTTTAATACTTTAGCTATGGATATTCACATTAAAAGAAGTTCTAGCTATTTTACATTTGTTTTTTTGTTGGGAAAGATATGTAGGATTGGGACTTGAGAGTTAAAGAACACAGATATAGAACCCGATAGGATGTGAACCATCATACCTTGTAGGTCAATGAAGCATAACTAACATAATAGATAGGAGACCAATTTCCAGTCAGTTTGCACAAAGTTACAAATTAAATAATGACAACAAATTTGAGTTTAGCTTTAAAAAGAATGTCCTATGTGAAAATCCATGATAATGCACGTCCACTCAATGTGATACTGAAATTAATAATGAAACATAATTTATTACTGGGAATAATTTACATTACTTTAGACATTGACGTGGAACAATTTATACAAAATGGCATATGAGTTCCTACTTTCCCCTTAAATTCATGACCTTGTACCAAATGAGCAATCATTTTGAACAATTGCATTGCCAAGCTTGTTAATCAAAAAAAGAAGAGACAATCAAGCAAGACATTTCCTTTGCATACAGGATACAAGAAAAGTAAGAATTTTGATTAGAAAAAAAATCTGAAGAATTTGTTTTACGGCATGAAATGTTGTATTACTTGAATATGATGCCATCTTTAATTATATAAATACTTATTTTAGTGTAACACGCACCATCTTTTGGAGCCTCAATCATATCCTTCCCCGATTGCTTACCTAATCTGTATTTCTGCCATGTAAAATAGAAAGAAAGAAAAAACCAGTCAGATAATTACCACAAAGTTAACAATGGTTGCATTATTTAACTCTCTGAACATGTGGAGAAAATAGTTAAAGAACAAACTTAAACCTGAAGATGACTTTTCAAATGGAAAAGAGTCAATCCTTTCACACCCATTGTCCGCATTATAGCCTTAGGTGTAGCTTCTGCACAGATAAATCACATTCAAACATGCATTAGAAGATCATACATGGACATTTTTTTTCAACTAGCAAATTAAATGGAGACAAAAACCAATGAAGGTCTTGCTAAGAAAACAGGGCTCCAATTTGGAAAACAAGATTGACAGGCTATAAGAAAAGCTATACATCAAGGAATAAATCTATAAAAAGCAATCACAACAAAAAACTAGACATTCAATAGGAAAGCTATAAGTTACTCAGTATAGGAGCAACAGCAGCATTGACAACGTAATAGCCCAACATATACTCACCATATGCCCAGGTTAGGGAGGTCCACAGCTTTGCCTATAGCCATGAACCAGTAGACAGACTATTTCTATAATTAAAATTCACATAGCAGTATAGCACTTCTAACAAAATTAAATGGCAATCATATATCACGCAGTCTTAAAAAAAATAATCTTCGTATTAGATTGATAAAATACTCCAAAAAAAAAAATAAAAAATAAAAAATCACACATGAGGATCACCTACAAGCCGTACAACTGAATGAAGCTTCAAAGGCATAATCATCTGTATGAATTTATGGTTTATAGGTCTAAGTAGATAGTATGATGGATAATGGTACAAGGTTACATTTGAATATGCAACACATTCCTTTCATCTTTACCAAGTTCCTTTTTATATTGGCATCCCTAAAGCTCTCCGTAGCATATCAAAAAAATAAATTCAATTTCATATTGCAAACAACTCTCAAAAGCATACCAAAGATGGCATCTCATAATCACACATGTCAAAGGAAAGTCCTAACAATGTACTTCTACTTCATTATCATCATCCCTTGCCACACAAAAACTCTACGAGGCAGCATTGCAGCAACAATACATCAAATGGCACGGACCCATTTGACCTTCTACGAAAGCAAAATTAATCAAAATCTCTACAACAATAATTTGAAGCACTTCTTTCACCGTATCACTTTCTCCTATACATTGGGACAACCATAAAACCTTACTAATACTCTGTAAGTCCATATCCCCTCTCACTTTCGTGTACCGCACAATAGCATATGATGCCATCTTTTATCAAAACAGAATTGCAGTTAGCCTCCATGTCACATTGCCACTTATGTAGAATGGCCAACAACTTCGATTTATAAGGAAATACAATATTTTACTGACCAATAAGATGAAAGCCTAAATTGCGAAGAACATATAATTTCTCCTCAAGCATCTTGCAGGCACCCAAATTTAGAAAGAATACCCAAAAAAAAAAAAAACCCACATTTCTTCATAATTCCATACATTATTATAACAATAACCTCCTCACCTTAATTCTACCAACCCTAATCTCCAAAAAAATCCAATTCCACAAATGGCACTATCCAAGAACCATTTCTAGTATCAACCATGACTCCATGAGATCATCATATTCTATGACTCTAGGCATTCCAACACCCAACTTACCATGTTCAGACACACAACAACAAAGCACATTAAAGTACAAACCAGTTTGCACAATTAACACCAACAATGTGGATGTGAGCTATCTTACTCGGTAAAGTCTTAGAGGGTCGATACTTGTAACATACCCAAGATCAAATCCCATCTACATCTCTACTTTCACGGCTAATGGCAATCTATCCACCCAAAAAACCCAACATTACTACCACAATTACATTAGCCCCTTTAATTCCACAAAACAAAATCAACCCATTTACACAATAAATAGCATCAAACAAAAGTACAAAAAGATTCCACAATAATTACAAAACATATAAAGGTAAAACGACTCAAAGTCATAAATGCACACCAAATCAACAATGTCATACTACTAGATACTACCCATAAAACAAAATCAGCGAAACCTTAAAAATCAAAAACCAAAAAAAAAAAAAGAAAGTAAATTTATCAGATCCAAAAAGAAATTAACAGATAAAAACTAACTGTTGGGCCCGCCAAGCTGAGTGACAGCATCAACAAAGCGTTCATGGAGGTCGGCAGTCCACCGGAGACGTGGCTTTGGATCGGAAGTCAACACCAAACGTGGGTCCCCTGCGGCGGCGGCGGAAGTGGAGGTGGGACCCACTTGATGAATCTCATCAATGGGACCCGCCATTACACTTAAAGATTCATGGAGTTGCTGCTGCTGTTGCTGAGGATTATGATGATGGGGTTGAATAAATCTTGTATACATTTTCAATCCTAAAAAAAAAAAAAAAAAAAAAATTGAAAATTGAAGAGAATTGATGAAATTAATACCCGAAAATTGAAAAAGATTGGAAATTTAAGCAAAAAGGTTGAAACTTTGAAAGTAACAGGAAATAAAAAGGGGAGAGAATCTGTAAGAAGTAGTAGTACTGAGAAAGTGAGTTGGGTTTATTTTGCTTCTAATTTTTTTTTTATTTTTAGAGATCGAGTGAAAAGGTAAATTTGATGGGGAATTGGGGATAATTTCTTAAACAATTTTTTGGTGAAATGAGTTGTCTATTATCAAAGGACCACTGTTTTTCTCTGGAATTTTGGTTCTACTACAGTCAGTGGCGTGGAGCCAGGATTTTCAACTTGGGGAACAAAAAGCTGTAACTTGACAAAAAGCTTAACAAAAAAAAAAAATTCAAACACACAAATTGGTAATACCTAATATTAAAATTTGACTCATTTTCATTGAGTTTCGGTCTTTTAAACAAGAATTGTCGATGATCGGGTTGTTTACTTGTTGCCTTGGATTTGTTTGAATTAGGTGAATCTATTGACATTTCCTAATTAAATTGAAAAATATATATCAATTTCCACAATCCACAATTCCACATCATTACATAATAATAAAACCTAAAATTCTAAATTTCTAATTCAACTATACATTTCAATAAATTCACAAAAACAGGAGAAAAAAATGCAATCAAAAGTTCACAAAATTAACTATACATTTCATTATTACAATAAATTCACAAAAACAGAAGAAAAAACAAGTAATAAACCAATTAACCAACAGATTTCAATATTCAGAGATTTCAATAAGACAATAAACCAACACATTTCAAAATTTCAATAGTTTAATACTTCAAATCTTCAATACCCAGAATAATTGAATAAAAGTATTAAACAAGTAATAAACTAATAATTCAGAGATTAAATTCAGATTTACATACCGTGAATTGGGTCTAGCGATTTAGCGAAGTAAGCGAAGTCGAATGGGGAGCAGCGAGTCCAGCGACGAGCCGACGAACGGACGAAGCAGTGACGGCGGCGACTCGACGGGCGGAGGGACGGAGTGCCGGGAGTGGAGCCGACGAGCGAGAGCGGCGGACTGGCAGAGGATTTTCGTACTTCGAAGAGAGAGGAAAGAGGAAAGTTAGGTTTCACTTTTAGGTTCTTGACTTTTTTTTTTTTTTTGTTTGAGTTGAGTTGGCAGAAGTCTTCTCTTGCTTTTCTGTCTCTTTTATTAATAAAGGTCAAGTGGGATTAATGAGTTATTACTTGCATGATTATGTACCAATGTTTGTATGATTACATCTTTTAAGATTACTAATTTAATAAAGTGAAACGATAATTGTTCTTTTGGTATATGGTAGTATGGTATCGTGTGAGATTAGCACGCGAGAATTTGATCTACTATTATCAAGGACCTCAACTCTTTATGAAAAATAGATCAAATTCTCTTCAATAACTTTTTAAGTGCCAATTTTCAATGTACAACCAATTATAAATTGTACATAGTACAATCAAAATCATCACTATCTTCTATCCTCGCCTCCTAATCTCACACGGTACCATACTACCATATATTAAGAGAACAATTATCGTTTCAGTTTATTAAATTAGTGACCTTAAAAGATGTAATCATACAAACATTGGTACATAATCATGCAACTAACTAATAACTCATTAATCCCACTTGACCTTTATTAATAAAAGAGACAAAAAAAGCAAGAGAAGACTTCTACCAAATCAAACACACACAAAAAAAGTCAAGAACCCAAATAAAAATTCAAAAGAAACCACACATACACACTGTAGTAGAACCAAAATTCCAGGTCATGAATAGAAAAACAGTGGTCCTTTGATAATAGACAACTCATTTCACCAAAAATTTGTTTAAGAAATTATCCCCAATTCCCCATCAAATTTACCTTTTCACTCAATCTCTAAAAAGCAAAAAAATTAGAAGCAAAATAAACCCCAACTCACTTTCTCAGCTTCTCTTCTCAGTACTACTACTTCTTAGATATTCTCCCCCAGTGGGGGAGCCAGGATTTTCAACTTGGGGGGACACAAAGCTTAACTTGACAAAAAGCTTAACAAAAAATTGTCGAAGATCGGGTTGTTTACTAGTTGCCTTAGATTTGTTTGAATTAGGTGAATCTTTTGACATTTCCTAATTAAATTGAAAAATATATACATAATAATAAAACCTAAGATTCTAAATTGAAAAATATATACCCATTTTACGACGTGAAAAACTGAAGAAAAAAAGAACACACAATAAGAACAAATGAAAACATAAGAGACTTACTTCCACATCACCAGATCCAAGATAAGAGATAACATTAGAAGCTACATTCTTTCTTTCCTTGCAGAATAATATCAATTCAATGAGGGCACAACTACCATGAATTGCAGCTAATAATTTAAGCCAAAGTAACATAACAAAGTCACAGTTATGTGAAAGAAGCAAAATTTATGTCTTCAAGGAAATTCAACCCAGGATTTCTATCATCAATCAAGCTTACACAACCAGTATTAGTGTAAAAATATTCAGCAATCAAGCTTTAGACTGACAAACAACTATATTGTATTTTCTCTATGAAAACATGCCTTTCAACCCATACATTAATACGTACATATAATTAAATTTACATTAGAAATCTTACTTGCTTGGGCTGTTAAAGGTTAGAGATTGCTTGATCATAATAAGACAAAATGCAATCAACCCGGCAGCTATAACTATATTACCCACAACATTGCCCATTTGCCCTTCAGCTTCGGATCAGCATTGTTTCGGGGTTTTCTGATGTCCTGCGAGAGAGTTACAATTCTGAGACTGGAACCGGACGCCTGTACCTGCAAAACAAACGGATGCTCCGGACGATTGGAGATCCGCCTCCGACGGTCAAGTTAGTACTTGATTAAGGAGTAATTAATGCAGAAATAAAAGTAATAGGGTCTCTCTAGGTGAGAGTGTTAAATGTGCGTAATCCCTCTTAATGAGGATTAATGGGCATATTTATATGCCTTGGGATGTGTGCCAGTACTAGGTTTAGGTTAAACCTAAGGCTGACTGGGCCTCCCATAATGATTGGGCCTTGTTGGCCGGTTTTCCCATTTGGCATGGGTGGACACGTGTCACATTGCAATTGGTCCAAGGAGGACGAATCTCTTGATGACACGTGGCAGGCTCCTATTGGCCTACATGAAGGACACGTGGCGAAACCTGGCTGGCCCACGTGTCGGATGCTGATTGGTGGATAAAAATCCCCTAATCATTTGCCCCTCACAGGTGGCACGTGACTGGTCACGTGTTCCTGTGACAGGTGTCGCACCGTGACAGGCGACGACCTGCTACAAGTGTCACTCGGTGAAAGGCCGAGAGATTCTCCCGCCCAAATTTTGAATTTTGGAAGCGACCCTTCGCCTTCTCACTTTGCCTATATAAGGGTGTGTTGACTTTAGTCATTTTCACACTTGAGAACTTTTTCGAGAGAACATTCGAACCCCTGAACTTGCTCTGACATTCCGGACTCTTTCTGCCTACCGCCTGCTCTGACAAGCCGACTACTCAGGATTTTCAGAACTCCGTCAACTTCACTCGTTCAGGTAACCGTCGGTTCTCTTACTCTTAATTTTCTATTTATTTTATTCTTTTTTGAAATGGCACCACGGAAGCACACGACACGACCTAGGTTAGTGATCAGCCGGTCACCGGGGACGGCTGAATCTAGGACTAGGAGTGCCGCCTGCCCTTTTCCGGACCCATCTTTGCCCTTTATACAAAGTCCGACTGTCTCTGTGTCTATGCAGAACATGATGGCCAGAACAAAAAGAACTGCTAGGATCTCGAACTCAGACGGCTCCTCCCACAGGGTGCCGATTAGTGAAACATCTGACCAGGCGCCAGATGTGGAAGTGAACCAAGGCGGCTTGACAACCGACAGTTCTGAGGGAGGGGTCAAGGTGACCCCTTCCCATTTTACAGTTGACAAGTCTACATTCTCTCCTGCTCCTTTTGAAGGAGAGAAGGCGGGCCCCTCTGGGAGAGGGGAGGAGTCGTCCTCTTCGGACTCGTTAGAGGACGAATCCGAGTCTAGTTCTTCTGGTCATGCCTCTTTGGACACGGAAGAGAAAAACAGCCGCCTACAAGAGGCGAGGCTTTCTCACGCAGTTGAGAAGGGGGACAATTGGGCGGAGCCATCCGCCTCTTACCGAGAGCAAAATACCCCTTACTACTGCACTGTCCCACGGGGCCGGATCACGGCCATGCAAGAGAGAGTGGGGAGCTTTATTGCGAACCACACAATGGGCCCCGGCTTTTTAGTTTTCGTGCCGGATCCAGAAGACATAGTCGTCTGGCCGGCTGGTACTAGTTATGATAGCGCCTGTTTTGGCTGCTACGAGGCTGCCATCAAGGCTGGGCTGCGCCTACATCCGGCTGTTCAGCGGATCTTGGATGGGTATGAGTTGGGGTTATGGCAGTTAGCCCCAAACTCCTGGGTCAACGTACTCGGCTATGTGGCCGGGTGCGAACTGCACGGGGTGGAGCCAAACTTCGAGGCTTTCGCCCACATGAACTACCTCAGCCGGACCCCTAAGGCAGGCGGTACCGGCTGGTATCAATTGACGAGCCACAGAGGTTACCTCATGACAAGAGGTAAAGCAAACAAGTGGAAGGATTGGCGAAACACCTTCCTTATCATTGAAAGTTCAGACACAGAGCTGAACAAGCGCTTCAACAAGTGGAACAGGAATCCGCCTCTTCTTGCTGGCGGCCGCAGCATGCCGCCTGTTCCCCCCAAAGCCAAGAAAGAGATCGTGGATAAAGGACTCTTTAAAGTAGAGTCGAGGGTCGACTCTACTACAGGGGTATGAGAGCAAGTACCCCTGCACTGCGTCCCGAGCTTCAAATGGCTCTATGACGAGTACTTTCTGGCCACCTGTGGCCTTAGCAGTCGGTGTTCAAGAGATAGCCGGCCTGTCGAATACTCTTTTTTGCCATGAGTTACTGTTTATTTTTTTATTAACTTGGTATCTTGTCTTTGTAGCGGACGCCATGAGCAAGATCACCGCTTCCTAGACTGCGGCGGCCATGTTGCGAGCCTCTATTATGCAACAATCCTCAACCGACTCCCCCAACAAGGGGGCACCCTTGGTGAGCTTTGAACCTTTCACTCTCTTTTTGGAGTTGGGTTTATGCATATACTGTCCGAGTGCTTCTTTTTTTTTTTTTTTTCAGACGGGCACTCCAAGAGCCTCTTCTTCCCAACAGCCGTACTCCAAGACCCGGAGGACGACTGTTGCGGGCTCTCCTGGTACTGCCAGGAAACATGCGGCGGCTGAGAAACAGTAGTCCTCTCCTTCTAAAACTCCAATCAGGTCGCCTAGAAGTATGAAGTTGTCCTTGTGAATTTAGACTTGCTCCCTTCTTTACTAGGCCTAACCCGTTTGTTTATGCTTGATGCAGTCGGCCCTCAAGAGCCAGACTTGGTCAAGCTGGCCAAGTCTATGATCAAAGTCGTCCCTCCGGCTGAGAGGGAGGCGGTCAGGGGTGTCGGCACCCTTGACCTAGACGGGATTGCAGGGGTCCTTGCTGAGGTATACTTAGCATATTTTTGGTTATTTAAATTCCAGGACGCCTGTTTTTTGTTTGAAAACTGACGCCTGTTCCCTTTTACTTAGGCCCTGCTCCGAGTGAACGACCTTCGCAAGCCGCTTGACAGGAAGAACAAGGAGGTAAAGGCTGCAAAAGCTATGGCCGCCTCTGACTGTGATAAGGCAATGTTTCAAATTGCCCAAAATGAGATTTTTACAATTGATATTCTTTATTATCAGGCGCAGGCTACTTCTGCTATCCGGGCTCAGTTGGAGGCGGCCCAGAAGAAAAATAATGAGCTGGAGGCGACCATCAACAATCTCAAGGCCGAGCTGAGACCTCTTCGCCAAAAAATGTCCTCATACGACACCTTGGAGAAATCCTTGGCACACGTTAAGGAACGCCTGGTGACCCAGGAGAAGAGTCTTACTCAGGAGCTCTCGGCAAAGGCTGAGCAAGAAAAGAAGGAGCTGGTCCGAGAGATGATGGAAGACTCTGCTCAGATCCAGCGCATGACCTGGGGCCGCCTCTTCCCCAATGCCGACTTTTCCTCATGGGAAAAAACGTACCGCTAGTGTTCTAATAGATATAATCAAGAGATCCTGGCGGCTGCTGAGGACAAGGCGTTGGAGGAGGAGGAGGAGCCGGTAGTGGCGCTTGTGCCGCTTGGGGTGGATGCATCGAAGAAGGATGCAGCTGAAGCCG